CCTCCTGAGGGATTGTCAGGATACAGATTCCCAGCATCTGTCCCAGACTTGGAATCAGAAGCTTGAGGGGGAGGGGACACCGCGGGGAGTCTGCACTTGAACCTGCTCCCCAGGCGATGCCCTTGTGCCCTGCAGCTGGAGAGCCGGTGTTTTCAGGTCACCCTAAGACAGTGTCAGAAACCCTCTGATGTCTTCTTCGCAGGCTGGGGCTTCAGCATGGGCACCCATTACCATTTCCACAGCTGGAGAGTGTTTGTCATTGTCTGCGCTCTGCCCTGCACCGTGTCCATGGTGGCCCTGAGGTTCATGCCAGAGAGCCCACGGTTTCTGCTAGAGGTGAGTCAGCAGCCCCCTCCCACCCCAAGTGAAAGCAATGGAGCGGCGATGACAGCAGCTAGCCCTGCTTTCGTAACCCCTTAGTCCCTCTTTCTCTCCTGCTTGCTTGTTGCAAACACCCTGAGGTTGGCTGACCTGGCTGGCCCATTATTAAATCCAGCTCCGTTGCTGCCTGTGATGGATGCGTGTTCTGAATCCACAGACTGCCTTAGGGGCTTAGGGGCTCACTGAGCACTGGGGGGGAGGGGAAGAGGGCCTCCTGAGGCTGCTTCCGGCACCCACTCTCTCCAGAGAGACCACTTAGGAGGCTCTGCAAAGCTGTGTGACGTTTTTCCATGTTGCAGCAGTGAGATCTGTAGTAGAGCTCATCCCTGCTCCCAAGCCCTTTAGGGCTCTCAGCCATGCAGGACGCCTTCCTACCAGAAAGCTGTTCCCAGTGTCGTAAGAGATGAGTCCCTAGAGACTTTCACCTTGGGGGGCCTCAGGCTGGGGCTGGCTGAGGGGCAACAGGACTCACCGGCTTTTATCATCCCAATTCTGAGCCCACTTATGTGCCTCCTTCTAAAACTTCCTGCAGAGTGATCCTCCCTGTTGAGTTTCCCATTGACCCGGAGGCAGATGCGGCAGGGAGTGCTTTTAACCATGGATAGCTCAAGTTATCCTTTGTTGTGTATTAGTGACCTAGGGCTGCTGTAACAAAGGAGCCCAGTGACCTAGGGCTGCTGTAACAAAGGAGCCCAGTGACCTAGGGCTGCTGGAGCAAAGGAGCCCACACGGAGTGGCTCAGAGTAACAGACATTATTGTCTCACCGTGTTNCCCTCCTGTAAAGTCTGACTGCTGTCTCTGATCCGCACGTGGCTCTGTTCATCGGTAATTTGGGGGCTCAGACTCCTTGTAGCCTGTGTTTCCACCATATTCAACGTGTAGCTAGAAGGCGTCTGGTTTGGAAGACAGAGCGTGGGCAGTTGTCCATGGTTTTGAAGGGCAGGCGAGGAAGTGGGGCACATCCTCTCTGCTCACATTCCATTGGCCCCAAACCTGTAAAATGATCGCACCCTGCTGCAAAGGACATTTGGAAATGCAATCTAGCTGTGTGCCCAGAAAGGAGAAGAAATGCCCCCCTCCCCCATGTAATTCTTGCTATAGTAGCATTTCCCTTGTTAACCAATCCAAGTGTATAAACACTAAGACACTATTTCCACATTTAAGTTGAGTAAAAAAACCTTTTGGGGGAGGGGGAACAAATAAAATCTGGATAAAAGCTGAATCGAAGTAATGGTGCTGTGTGATTTGGGACACGTTGCTCCATCGTGTCCAGCCTTGGTTCCTTCACCTGTCAATTGGAGGAGAGAAGGAAGCAAAGAGAACTGAATGTAGAGCTCTGTGCCAGTCCTAACATCCATCAGTTCTTGGAATGGGAAGGGGAGTGTCAGGCTAGCTCCCCCTGGCCCTCACACTTGACCAATGAGCAAAGGCCTTTGGCTTCCCTCTGATTGGGTCAGCTTAGGTCATGTGCCCACCTCAGCCAATCAGCACACTCCAGAGGATGCTAGCTCCTGAATGGTTTCTATATATGTACTCCCTAGAGGGTGGGGTCAGTCCCACCCAAACCACATGTGTGAAGCACAGTGGTGAAGGAAGGACTGGAGGGATGTTGTGAGGGGAGCAACGCACAATAGTCACTACAAACTGCATCCTTTTTACACTTCACTTCACACACAAACACACACCAATGACTGGGTATCTGGTTTCTAAGAAAGCAACAAAATCATGCAGGTTGGAAGCACGTTGACCAAGACTGAATGGGATTCCATGGCGGAGGGGCTGACCACTGCTGGACGATTGTAGGGCTTGTGGTTCAATACTTGACCCCAAATGGACAAGATTTTTTTTTTTAATTTGCCTGTATGAAATCTGTGACTTTTACATTCAATTTAAAAAAATACAAGCTTCTTGGATAGTCTGGCTCAAATGAAAGAGGAGTACCCTAGAAATACGGTGGACTTGAATCACAGTCTAACAGGAGTGATTATTTATTTTAAGCCTCATTTTACCAGGACCAGCTTTTTGGTCCATAGTGAACCAGACATCTGATGATATTTCTCAATATGCCTAAGACATTAATCCTCTAAACCGCCCTCCCCAGCCACCATCCCCTGCCCTCCAGCAGGACAAATGCAAGGGTAACTGCAGAAACTGAAGTTTCTGTGCTGCTTGTGCAAACCCCTTTAATTGCTGTTGTAGGAATGAGGTGATGGGAGGTCTTGGCACCAGGAATTTGGGTGACTGAGTCATTGAGAGAGAAAATGACAAAACCCAGAATGTTTTCCTGGGAACTCAGAAAACAAATGGATATATTATGGAAGATTAATTCCCATTGTAGTCAGCACCACCATCTGTTAGTGAAACCCTGACGCAGAAAAGTAGGGCAAGCTCAAAGATCAGTGAACAGAACAATCCCTGTCTTCAAATTAATAGCCGTTCCACGTATTTGGGAGCTGTTCACTGGTTTAATTTTATTTAATTTAAGGCCCCAAAGATGTCACTCATAAATGCGATCAGTGCAGATTATTAAAATCACCGTAAAAACTGTAGAGACACGAGGGGATGATGGATTTTGGATAATTTACACATTGTCATAAAGGAAAAAAAAATCGTTCTGAGTCAGAATACTTTATAAACATGCCTGCTTCTGCCTCTCTTCACTTGTTATCTACCTGAGTTAGGCTACTATGTATTAGTTTTGATGAACTTGACTTCCAATTATGCCAGAATAGTTTTTGGACGTCGGTGGAGAATGTGTAAATTATTCGATGGTTTTTATCTTCCTCTTCCTAGTGTCACTCTCAGGAGAAAGGAAAGGCTTTTTAATTAAAATTAAAACAAACAGAGCCCAGTGAGATGGAATGTGAGCAGATCGTGCTGTACAAAAGAGATGCGATTCTGATTGAGAAGGTTGGGGGACATGTGTGTTGTGTGGCCAGATGTGTCAAAGCGGCCACAGTCCCACATTTCCCCACCTGGGAGTCCCTCTGGCTAGTCCTTTAATTGTGCTCACAGAGTTGAAAATACCTGCAGAAACAG